CTGGAGTGAAAACGTTTTATCTTCATGACATAAGCGAGTGGTTTTGAAACAGGTTTACAAACCCTCGTGAAGACGCACCCTTAGTGTTAGGTTTTGTTTTTTTACCATGTGACGATGCAACTATTTTCTTCCTCTCTTCCACAGTGGCTAGTCGCCTCCAGAGCGAGGGGTATCTCTTGTACAGAGAACCTCGGAACATACGGAGGTAGTTTCCCACCTATGAGCAAAGCAAGAAGGCTCATTATGAGGGTCACATCTCGATGCAGAAAGGGAGGGTCCTGGTGCAGAGGCTCTGCCTGACTGAGTGACGGAGCACAAGCTGGCCTCCAGGCACCAGGCTTTCTGCAGCCATAAAAACACATTCTGCTGACATCAAGGGTTCAACACCAGTGCACATCTGGCCCGCATCTGCCCCTCTAGGCGGGGGCAATACCATCTGCATCCCAGCGACACGGCTAAGTTCTGAAAGGCCTGACCAGACGCTTCTGGGGCAGGCCCCCAGAGCTCACCGAGACGCTCAAAGTGATTCTGACTTTAGACTAAGGATCCTGGGCACTTTCCAGAAATGTAAGGCTCCTCTGACTTTCTTTTATCTTAAGAACAAGACTTTGATATTTTTATGATGCAATAAACACCAAAAAGGTCTTTTAATTTTAGACAGATGCAGGATAGTTTCCCCCGTGGTCCCTGTTGCTTTGTTTAGTAACAAACTCAAACCAGGAACACCAAAGGAATTTTCCGAGAGTTTAAAAAACACTTACTGGCAATCAGAAGATTGCTTTATAAATCATTACTGCCTCAAACAATAACTTCGGTTTGTCCGTAACAGATACTCAAAATATGATTTCTTTAATGAACAGAAATCTTGTCTCAAAGTTTTATATAAAGAAACTCGGTTATTTCACTGACATTGCAAAAAAGACCACTCGCGTCACATGGCAAGGGACAGCTGGGGACTGAGTGCCATGTGCTGGCTCCACTGTGACCGGAAATCACCTTGCTTTTCTGGGTCTCCTTACTCATCTGCCAAATGCTCAGCAATCCTGAACTTTGCCCCACAAATGACCATTTCTATTATTTTCCCCATTTACCTACCTAGCACAGTAGGGTAAATGTGTGTTAAATGTGTTTCCTCATTTTTCACGAATCAAAGATTTTTATGATCGACAACCAGAACAGCCTAACGGAAGAGTCAGGGGTGCCTGGGGTTAGGGGTGCCTGAGTGGCTCATTGTTAACCCAAAGTGTCTGACTCTTGATTTTGACTCAGGTCATGATCTCGGGCTTTGTTGAGTTCAAGCCCTCAACGGGCTTGGGATTCTCTCTCTCTTTCTTTCTGTTCCTCCCCTGCTCACACTTTCTCTGTCTCTCAAATAAATAAACTTACTGCAGGTCCTATAGTGCTCCAGGACACCTACATCTTCCCAAGACCCCTGAACTTAAGAAACCGGGGGCTTGCCTTCCTGGGTTTCCCCTGAACCAGCCTGTGCCCTCTCTCGACCTATCTCCCCCAAATGTAAAATGAAGGTGTGAACCTAGGGATTTCTTAGGGTCCTCTCAGCCCTGCGACTCTGGCTTGGTGAACACAGCTGCCTGTAGATGGGGAGAGAAGAGTGACATACACACTTGCTGCGATCACACAAGCCTTCCCAAAGCTGCTGCACAGATGTGGCATGGGGGGACATGGGTGTGTTTCTACAGCCGACCCACCTCTCTGAATATGGTGCCTGTTTTCCAAGGGGAAGAGACCTGCAGGCCATCCACCACCCAACGCTGTCACAGGAGCTTCTGGTTATCAATAGTCAGCCTCCTGATCTTGAACCCTTCCCAGACCTCCAGAGGTTCAGGCCTGGCCCAAGAGAGCAGACGTCTCTCCCCTCTCCAATCTGGGACTCTATAGACTGGGTCTCAGAACAATTATTCTCACTCAACAGAGCTGAAAGAGCAGACTGCACTTAGCCTTCTAGAAACGAAGGCATGTTACGGGGAAGATCTTGAGGCCATCAAGTCTGAGCATCTCCCACATATGAGAAGAGTTACCTGGAAACAGAGAGGCTTCCTTCTTCCCATCTGGCCACATGCTCCCTCTCAATATACTCCACCTAATGAGGGAAAGCTTCCTTTTGAAAAGTAGCATCCACTGAGAGTCAAGGCCAAAAGGACTGCTTTTCCTGTCCATTAGACCCTTTCTAAGAAGTAAGCATTCTTTAAACATAATGCCCAGGATCATTTGGGAATTCCTCAAGTGCCTTCCATCCTATATTTAGGCAGCTTTCTACTGGTCAACAAGGACCATTCTGAGGGACATGGACAGGCACTGACTCCATTTTCCCAGTTATGTCCAAAGAGCAGCATTTATGTCAGAACATGAAAAACGTATCGCATCCTGTCCTTTTTGTTCCATAAAAATTGGTGGAAAATGGAAACACTGAAGTCCTGATACTACTGACAACACTGGTCTCCCAACCTGATACAACCGAAACAAGCCAGGAATCAGAGGGGGTCGGTCATTCATTCATGCTATGCTCAACTGTGATGGGGGAAGAAAAAAACTAATTAAAAAAAAAAAAAAAAAAGAATGGAATGTTGGCATAGGATACTGAACACCACTACAGGGAGAGACAACCCTGGGCATTGTGAAACTGCTTTAGCTCTCCAGGATTGGCACTTACCTCATTACACAGGAAAAGACTCTACAGCTTGGTATTGGCACATCTGAACTGCATATCCACAATTAAAAAAAAAAAAGGGAATATACACTAGCTGGGGATTGCTTTGGATCAAAAAGGTGTAGTTTGAAGCAACCTGGAAAAACAGTATACTTAGTACAAACTCCCACTGAAGGACCAATAGTAGGGTTTTCCTAAAGTCAGCTGTCCAGCTGCTTCAACAAAGTGCTGTCACTTCTGGTCAAGAATCGAAGATATTCAGAATCGTTGCCTCATAATTCTGAGTTAAGTTCAAGATAGAGAGTCAATTGCTTCTGAACTGCTGAGAGATCTAGCTCAGGGACTGGGGCCTTATCCACCCAAAGCAGGATATCCATCCTCCTCCCAATTTCCTCATTGGTAAATAAAAGCAAACAACACTTTGCGGGGATGAAACATCAGAAAGCCCCATGTTTCCAGTCTGCGATTTCATGATCCCAAATGCAGCAGTGGAGGAAGGATTACAGGTGAAGCCTCCAAAATCTCTCCCCCAGGCGCCCCAGGGACTAAACGAAACATCCCGTTTCTTTGCGGCTGGCTGGAGCTGTACCAACTCAGGGTGGAACCAGTGGCTCCTGAGGGTGCCCTAAGCCCTGGCTGCGGTAGGTGACCCCCCAGCAAGGCGAAACGAGTAAGTAACCCCAGATCTCGGAGGTGCGCGGGGCGGAGTCAAACAGGCCCCGCCCCGCCCCTTCCGAACGCACCGCGCGCGCGCGCCCGCCCTCCGCGATGAATGGAGACGCGCGTTCCCGGCGCGCAGACCCGCCCCGAGGCTCCCGCGGGGCCGGGGCCGGGGAGGGCGGGGACGCGCCGCGGGCTACCTCAGAGCCGATCATGTAGAACTCTCCGTCGTCCTCCAGCTGGAACTTGACGGGCTTCTGCCCGAAGGTCTTGCTCAGCGCCATCATCATCATTTTGGCGGTGGAGAGGGGCGGCTGGGGCCGGGCTTCGAGAAATCGGGAGGACTGAGGAGGAGCCGGGGCTCGCCGAGCCGAGAACAGCCAAGACCGGGAGGCGAAGGGCAGACAGATCAGGTGTTCGAGCCACCGCCGGGCTCCTCAGCCTCCGCCGCAAACGACGACCAGGCCGCCCTCAGTGCGCAAGCGCGGGCGTTGACGCTGACGCGCGCGCCGCCGCCTCCCTAACAAAAGGCCGGGGAGCGCCCCTTCGGGCCCCTTAAAGGAACCACGACCCGTTTCTCTATTCCAGGCTGCTTCCCAAGTGGAGGTACTCAGAACTTCTCACGGACAGAAATAGCAACGGAGGCCCAGACTCAAGCGGCGTTTTTTTCCACCTCACGGCTGGGACTAGAACTCAGCCCAATGGAGGAGGAGCAAAACGAGGCCGGAGGCCAGAGCTACCCGTGCCTCAGTTTCCCCACCCGAAAAACACAGTGTAATTGAGTAGATAAGAGGGATCCTAGGAACAGATGCCCCAGTTCCAGACCCACAGCTGTTCCTGCGGCTGTGGAAGTGGGCAGAAGGACAGCACCGGTTGAGGGGTTGGCATGGGCAAAGGCTCCCCAGGCGTGGCAGGATTCCAAGGCCCAGGTGGTATTTGGTTTGGCTGCGGCGTGGGTGAGCTGGAGAAGAGGGAAACTTCTCCATTCCTCAACTCTGCTCTCTGTGCCTACAGCAGGTGCAGCTGTGGGGTGCGGAGCGAAAGGATATAGGCCTGCCCTGCAGAGCTTACAGCCTCCGGGAGTGGGGCTAACAGTAATGAAAGCATCAAAGCATCCGTGTGTTTGGTTGCATGATGCAGCAGATCAAAAACGGCCTGCTGCTGACAGTTTCATATGGTTCAGTCTAATAAAATTGCAGCTGTGATAGGTGCTTCTATGAAGAAGATACGCGTGGGGCAGGAGGCAGGGCAAAGAGACGCTTGAGAGGTGGGGTCGGCTGTGGTGACCCTGAGTTTTGTTCCTGTCCGGACAGCAGTGAGAAACAAAGTATTTTAGGATCAAGGCTGCATGTGGCATGATCAGATGAAGTGGCCACCACTTAGTGGAGGATGTCGAGGGGCCAGAGGGGAAGCAGGGAATCTATTACAAAGCCACTCCGGTCCCCCCCAGGCTAGATGGAGATGTGGAGCAAGAGGAGCCGGGGCACTGCATCCAGCCCAAGGACCAGAAGCTTGGGTGGGTGGGAGTAGGCTGTGATGAGAACACAGCAGGTCCTGAGTTGGCTCCCAAGTCCCCAGCTCTTCCCCCGTCCTGGCCTCATAGTTAAAGAAAGAACCCAGGCAGGCAAGTAGAAAATAACCATATTTAATGACAGTACTCAGTAGGAAAAAAAAAAAAAAAAAAGGCTTTGTACACACTGTACACACATTTACATGACTTTGGAGGGTCCCAGTGCTGGGATGAGGGCTGGGAAGGATCTAGCCCAAGACAGGATTGAGGTATGTTGGGGCTTCCAGGGCCCGGGGTCTCCAGCAGGAAGCCCTCCCCTCCCCAGCTGACTCTGGACCTTTTGGCCTGGATGCTGGAGAACATATCCCTAGGATCACCAACTAGAAAACAGGCAGTTCCAAGCACCTGTCCAGAGCTGACCTCTCAGGAAAGGGCGGAAGGCAGTGAGGCCCCTGGCCCCCCGGTGCCAGTACCCTGCAGGAACCTCACAGCAGGGAGAGAATGGGGGCTTCAGCTCCCCCAGCCCCACTGAGGTGCTACCCTGAGGGACAAATATAGAAACTGAGGACAGGAGGGTTTGACTATGACCTGCACAGGTTGGGTGGGGCTGGCCTGAGTCCAGCCTCACCCTCAAGTAATGCCAGAGTCTCCCTGCCTAGTCTGAGACAGTCGCTGGCAGGTGACCACGACCTGCGTGGCCCTTCCTGCAGTTGTCAAGGTGACAGCACCCCCTCCCCACCCCCCTGAGGAAACACAGCCTCCAACCTGTGCCTGGCACCCACAGACACAAGGATGGCCACTGGTCATCTATCCAATATCAGTGGGCTGGCAGCGGTCAGGAGCGCTGAGGGTGTCCAAGTCGGTTAGCGGAAAGTGTTGGCAGGCTCGGTACAGCCGAAGAAGTCAGGGCCCACGAGGCGGGGAAAGCCCTCCAGGGCCTTCACCTTCACAGGGTCGAACTTCCAATAGAGGCGACCTCGAAGAAAGTAAGCATAGCCTGAGGAGAGAGAGGAGGGTCGGGCCTGGATGAGTGGACACTGGGCCCTGCACCTGCCAGTCAGGATGTGCTCACGGACAGGCACAGGGGGAGGTCCCATTGTCAGGGTTTGACTGCTATTGTGTTTCCTGAAACCTGCAGGCCCCAAGGTGGCCCTTCTGGAACCTTCCATCCCTTGGAGTACTACCTGCCCCAAGGTCTGAGCTGGGCTATCATCCAGCTTGACAGATGCCTGGAGTCTCAGAAACTCAACCCCTGCCTCTCAGGAAAGCAAGTGTCCCTCACCCTACCCCACCCCAACCCCATGTCAGTTCTACTCCTGTGTCTGCCAGCCAGACTATGGACAGGCATCCTGAGCCAAGCTGGGCCCTGCGGGTGACCCAGAGCCCCAGAGCTACCACAGGACTGCTCTCCCAGCAGGTCCTGATGGGGGACAGCACAGAAGCAAGCTTGAGGGTACAGGGGAGAAAGTACTGGCCTGAAAGTCCCACTCTAGTCCTTCAAGATGGTGGGAGGCCAGTTCAGTGGTTAGGAGCAGGGACTGCCTGGGTGGGAGGCCTGGCCCCCCCACTGTCCATCTGAGTGGCCCAGTTAGGGACCTCATCACCTGAACCTGTTTGTCCCTCTGGAAACTGGGTTCATAACAAGTGTTATGTCAGAGGGCTGTTCTGAGAACTGCAGGAGACACATAAGGAGCTTAGTGCTCTGCCTAGAACATCATCGGTCCTCAGTGTGCCGCAGTTACTATTTTACCATCTATGACTGAGGGACTTGGGCAAGTCCTGGCACCTCTCTGGCCCTCAGTCTTCCCATCTGCAGCATGGGAGCATGGCACTGCCCTGGCACGAGGAGGGTGGACAAAGGACCCGTGGTGAGGAGCTAATGCCCAGCTACCACCAGGTGGGCGATACGGCTCTTACACTTGTACCAGCCACTCCCCTACCGCCCCCCCCCCCCCCCCCCCCAACAACACACCATCAGCATCCTGGAAAGCGGCGTCAATCTCTGAGGGCACCCCTCGCCAGTCAGTGGCCCGGCGGGGAACGGGGCTTTCCACACGGCGGGTGCTAAGGTGGAAGCGCCAGTAGTCTCCGTCTCGGAAGAAGTAGATCTTGTTCTTCTCGGGGCCCCAGGCCAAAGCAGCCTGGATGGGGGGCCCAAGCAGCCCCAGCTCAGAGAGGGGTGCAGGGCCTAGGACTGGCTTCTCGCCGTTGTATACCCAGTACTGAGTACCTGCCAGAGAGGGGAGGCTGCAGTGGAGCTGCCCAACCACGGCACCAGGCCACCGTGGACCCACCTGGCCACCACCACTGCCACAGTCTTTCCCGGCCTCAGTTTCCTTTTCCATAAAACACTCAGGCCAGAAATCCCGCTCGGCACCCTTAAGTTGGCATCAATGGGGACAAGCTTGGGTGATACATGTTCTGGGAGCTACTACCTGGCAAAGGTTATTCTAAACAGGAAGGAGGCCTTCTGAGCTTCTGCTCCTTCCCCTGGCATTTGGTTCCTTGTGACAAGTGCTTCAAACCGTTCCCTGGGCTCCACCCTTGCCTCAGCAGGCTCCTTGCCACCTAGAATGCTCCAGACTCTTGTCTCTCCCAGTTGAAAGTTAACAGCACAGGCTCTGGGGTTGCCCGAATGAGATCAAATCCCTGCTCTGCCTTTTCCAAACTGTGCCCTTAGGTAAGTCACTGCACCACCTCTCCTCCCCAGAGACCTCATTTCTAGAACAGGCATACTGATCACACATACCTCCCAGGATGGCTTTGAGGGCTGCACGCACGGATGCACGGCCCACTGTCCTCTCCCATTTTGAAAGCCATCTCCTCTGGGAGCCTCTCAGCTGTACCCAGAGAAGTGAGCCACACTCTCCCTTGGCCCTGAGGCTTCGGGGCACCTTCCCGCTTGCCCATCATGTCTGCCTGGCTGTCCCTACCCTGGGCCATGACATACCTGGCTCTTGGAAGTCTCCTGAGCATGAACCCCAGTCCCCCTCACCTTGGAAGAACCAGATGTGGCCCTGGGCATCTTCAAAGGCTGCATCCACAGGGCTGGGCAGTCCCCGCCAGTGACGAGAAGCCAGTGCAGGGTAGCCAGGCTGCAGCCGGCCCCCACGCAGCCGCCACACAAAGCCCGCCTTGAAGAAGAAGAGCTCGCCACGGATGGTGGAGACTGCATCAAAGGTGACCTCGCAGGCATCTAGTGGGGCTTCCGGCTGGTGTGGGAGAGAAGGGCTGAACAAGAGCCCACGTTGGAGCCACAGAGGCCAGAGGGTGAAGGGAGCTGGGAGCAGGGCCTCACCTCCAGCGGGGCAATCTCGTTGTTGTCCACCCCAGCCTGGGGGCCCACGGCTGGGGGCCCAGAGGTGGGGGCTGGCCGGGGCTGGCCGTAGAGGTGCTGGATGCCCCTGCGGTCATCCGGGCTAAGGCTCAAGGGGTAGCGGAATGTGTAGAAAGGGGACATAAGTGCCTTAGCAGCCGTCGTGTGCTGCAGCCCCAGCACGTGGCCAAATTCATGGGCTGCCACCTGCAGGAGGTCTGTGCCTGAAAAAGGGAGAGAGCCCAGCAATCCCCAAACCGCCCACCACACGACGCTCAAGCTCCAGAGCCCAGGTCAAGGGCCTATCCCCATTCTCTATGACCCGTAGTTGCCCCGTCTGGAAAATGGGTCCCCCATACCCTGGTTGTTCCCGATAGTCCAGGTCTCATCATAGTCAAAGTGGACATCTCCTTCCCGGTGAGTCTTGGGGAAAAAGGCGTGGGCCAGGATGCCCCCAGGTCCATCAAATGGCAGGTTGTCCCCATGCCAGTACCTGTGGGTGGGTGGGCAGAGTCAGAGGCTACTGACAGGTGGGGCTGGTTCCCGGAGGGGTCTTAGGTAACCGGTTCACCTGGTGAAGTCGATCATGATGTCAGCATGGCCCTCATGCACTTCGGTGAAGGTGAGTGGCGTCACCTCGCTCCACACCTGTAGGGCCTCTGCCACCGTCTGCCGCACCTGCTCCCGTACCAGCTGCCAGGGGAACCGGAGGATCCTGGGGGGAGGAGGAGGGGCCTGGGCCTCGCTTGGGACAGCCCCCTGATGGCTGCTGGGCCAGGAGTTGCCCCTGGATGCTCAGTGGGGATGCATGCACCTGGGACACGCGCCGGGTGTGCTCTGGGCCTCAGCTGCGGTCCCTCTTCCGCATGGGAACATCTCTGCGTGGGTTTGTGTGGCCTTTGGTGCACACAGTGTCTGCATTTGGTGCAAAGAATGCAGGACCAGGAGCCCCAAGACCCACCTTCTAGACCTGACGGTGCTACTCACTGTGGGGAGACCTTGCCCCTTGACCCCTGTCTTGGTTTTAAGTTTCCCACCCGGGAACATTTCTGAGCTCCAGTCTGCGACACCACACCATCCTTCACAGGCCATCTGTCCCAGGCCAGCCCTCCACCTGCAGGACAGGTCTGACCTTCCTCATCACTCCCAGTATTACCTGCGCGCTCACCTCTGTTCCCACCGGCACAGACCCCAAGCTATGATAGTAGGTCTGTACAAAGATGTGGTTAATGCCGAGAGGATGGGCCATGTTTCCCTCATTTACCACAGAGTCCCAGGGCCTGGTGCTGTGTCCCCATTAGGCGTTGCCCCGGTGACAGAAGGCCACGCCTGCATGTCAGTGGAGCCACCAGATGTGTGCTGAGACTTTTTGCATGTTGACAGAGCTACTGCCCCTCTGCTGGGGGGAGGGGATGGGTGTGGTGGGGTGTTGTCTGCATGTGCATCTCAGTTGGGGTTTAGTGAGTTCAGCAGATGGCTGGGGGGGGGGGAACGGTGAACACACAGGTCTACTAATCACAGAGATTTGGCTCCAGTACATGTCTCAAGAAGCAGGTGTGAGGGTGGCAGTTCACACACAGACACACAGGTAGAGGTCTAGAGCCTGCTCCCACAGCCACTGGCCCCTACCTGTAGGTGAGGTCTGTTTTCTCCCAGCGCCCGCCCGACAGCACAAACCGCTTTTGTCGGTTGCGGGCACTCAGCCCTTCGGGTGGGTCAGGCACACCGCAGCGGGGAGGTCTGGGGCTGCTGGCCGGCTGGGGAGTCTCCTGGGCGGTAGCGGCAGGTGCCCGGCTGCTGGGAGCAGCTGCATGCCAGGGCTGGGGCCCCCTCCTCACAGGGGGGCGGCGGTGTGCATCCTGGGCAGGAGAGAGGTTGTGAAGGCCCGATCAGGCCTCAGGACCTCATGGCCTGTCAGCATACCCATGCTCAACCCCGGCCTGCCTCAAGGATGGGCAAAGTGAGGGCGAAGGGGCATGCCAGCCATCACACAACGGGGCCCTTTGTCATGGCTGGCTCAGATATCCTCCCTCTTCCTAGAGAGCCTGGGCTGCCTGTCCAGTCACTTGGGCCAGGAAGGTCTCAGTGGGGGGCACAGCCCCTGACTGTACTCTCCACACACCCAGGAATGGATCCCACAGAGCTTTCTCGAAGAAAAGGCCAGGCAGGCTCCTCCTCCTTCCCCTACTGATCCCCTCCCCTCCTATCCCAGCAAAGCTTTTTCACCTCCCTTTCTTCCTGCCTCCCACCCCCACCCCCACCTCTGCCCTCTCCAATGACCTGAGCCAGCTCCTGCCCAGGGCCCCCACTATTGCCACTCACCAGCGCCAGGCTGCAGCCCAGCTGCACAGCCTTGGTTTGCTCACCTGACAGATGGGGATAATACCTGTGCTGATCCATGCTTGGGCAGGGGAAACAGACAAGCCCTGATGCCCGCCCCACCCAGCCCTGCCGGACTGGAGCCCCAGCACCACAGATGGGAATTCTAACCCAGAGCTCCCACCCTCTGCAACATCCAGGACGGAGGTCATAGTTTTCACACTTGAAAAAAAAAGTACAAGCCCAGGGAGGTTGGGAGACCCTTTAAGGTCATGCAGCAAGGGCACGGCGGGGCCAGGTGAGGACTCTCGTGTCCAAGCAGGAGGCAGAGATACTAGGGATACTATGCAAAGCGGGAGAAGCATGGAGCCCTGCCACTCACGGGCTAGAGACTACATGCCTGCCTGGTCTGGGCAGCTGGGGCCTCCCCACAGCCATATTTGGGGTGGGAGCCAGGCCACCCAGGCCCCACCCTCGCCCTTAGCCTCTGGCAGTTCTCCCAGGCCCTAGGCATCCCAGGGCTCTGATTATTGTCCCAGTGCCCCTAGTCTCTCAATTCCAGAGTCCCCAATAACTCAACTTCCCAGAGTCACCCAGACTCAACCCTGAGAACACCCCCCTAGAAAGGGGTCTTCTGAATACCCAGGGGTGCAGCTACCTGAGATGTGAGAAAAATCCTTGGACCAGCTCTCTGATTTCAGAGCTTGCTTATTGAATTGTCAGTTACCTGGCAGAGCCCGGCCTCCCTGGCTTGTGGGTTCCCGTTGACACTGGATTTAGTGCTAGTTAAGTACTTCTCACTCTTGCAGTTCACCTGTACCCAGGACCGTACCACCGGTTCCACAGACATGCTCTTAGCCCCTGATGGGACCTCTCACTAACACTAGTGTTATTATCCCCCATTTCTCAGATGAGAAAAGAGAGCCCAGAGAAGTTAAACAACTTGCCCAGGTAACAGCTGGCAGGTGGTAACAGCTGTCTAGGGTCACAACCCACTCCCTACCTGCTACCTCTGCTGTGCTCTTCAGGCTGGAGCCACCCTTCCCCTGGAGGAGGGATCCAGGCTGCCCTCACCTTGGTGACAGAAGAGAAGGAATGGGAAATTTTCTTTTAAACTTTTTAATGTTTTTTATTTATTTCTGAGAGAGAGAGATAGCATGAACAGGGGAGGGTCAGAGAGAGAGGGAGACAAAATCTGAAGACAGGCTCCAGGCTCTGAGCTGTCTGCACAGAGCCCGACATGGGGCTCAAAACCATGAACTGTGACATCATGACCTGAGCCGAAGTCAGATGCTTAACTGACTGAGCCACCCAGGAGCCCCAGGAATGGGAAAATTTTAAGCACCTGCTATTTCCCAGGCACCCTGCCAGTTCATTGAATCTCTACCCCTACACCCCCAATAAGATGGGGATGATACATATGTGAGGTCTCCTACTGAGGATATGGACCCCAGGTCTGTGTGCCAAGCCATGAGAGCCTGCCCCTTCTCCCCACACTACCCCCTTGACTTCCTGGTTAAACAGATTCCTTCCCCCAATCCTGGAAAGGGTAAGACTGGGTTGTCCCCTGAGAGTCCCAAATAGTCCAGAGCCCAGCCTACCAGCTCTATTTATGCCTGTGAGCAGAAATCTCTCATCTCCTCTGTCCTCCAGTGAGGCCTGGGCTAGCCAGCCATGGAGGGAGGGTGGGCCATGGACACACACACCATGCCTTCCTCTCTTGCCCCCATGAGGCACTATAGGTCCATGTCCAGGACCCTGGATCATGGGACTCTCAGTCCAACAGAAAGAGCCACAGTCTGAGATTCAGAAGGCCCAGTTCTAGGCCATGCTCACCCTGGACAGAGTGACCCTGGGCAAGTCCCTGCCCTCTTTTAGCCTTGACTTCTCTGTCAGATGGGGAAGGTACTACAGCAGAGGGCTGAATAACCTCCCTCTCTGGAGCCCACTGCAGCATCTGGCACAGAGAAAAGCCCCTTCCCTGGCTCGGCTCCTTGGTCCTGTGGGCCCTCCTCTCCCACAAATGGAAATCTGCTCTCACCACACGTGCTACAGCTCCCACCTCCCACCTGGTGTCCTGCTGCCCCAAAGTTCCCAGACTACACCATAAACAGGAATTGCAGCTAGCAGAAGGGGGCTTGCGGGCCCAGAGAAGAGTGACTTGTGCAGAGCCTCCCAGGAAGCCAGAGGCTCATGCTCACTGTCCGCGTCACATTCGTTGGTCTTGGAGAGTGAGTGAGCAGAAGTCACTAGAATCGAGGTCTCTGGCCAGCAGGATTTTCCAACATTTGTTTTCTGGAGCCCATCATTTAATGGCTCTTGGTCTCGCTTTCCCCATTACTAGGGGAAACCTGACATCCTACACTTCATCTTTATGAGTCTTTTCTGGCCTGGGGCCAGACACCCTAATTGCAAGTCCTGGCCCAGAGCACTTTTCAGATCCCTAAGATTGGCGTGCTCGGTCCTCCAAGGCTGCTGGGATTCTGTGAGGTGGGGTGGTGGGCACAGACCATGCCTGGTCCCATCTACAGTGCAAGGAGGGTTGGGTAGCAGGGACCACCACATTTCACAGAGGAAGAAAGGGAGCCCAGAGAGGTCAAGGAATTTGCCCTGGGTGGGTCACACAGCTGGGCCTAGACTGGGGACCCATGCTTCTCCCACCCACAATGCCCCCCTCCCCCCACCTCCTTAACTCTTGGCCGGTCTCCAAAACCCACATTCCTGAGAAGTATTTCTTCTTCTGATGCCTTCCCCCCTCCTCCTCCTAGGCCAGGAGCCTCCCTTGGCCTGCCTGTGGTGGGCACTGAACTCACTCACCCCACCTTCCTCTCGCAGGGCACCAAATACAGCCTCAAACATACTTGAGGAACTTCTCAGCTGACTTAGTCTCCTGGCTTGGGGTCAGTGCCTGGGTCAACCTCCAATCCAGAAAACAGGAGGCACTTCGTAGAGGGGAGATAAGGGACCCCAAGCCAGGAAGCTGCTGGGTAAGGCCAGGCTAGTTTTGCCCCTCTCTGAGCCTCCATTTGCTATTGGTCCAACGGAGATAATTAATAACGACGGCTCTGCCTTCTGCTGTCAGAAGGAGGCGACCCTGATGGAAGGGCACTTTGTTAGGCTGTGAGAAAGAATGGGGAGCATCACTACACGATTCTATGCAGCACCATGCTCCTCTGAGGCTCAGAGAGGTCAAGCAACCTGCCCAAGTTGTGTAGCCGTGCAACACGCAGATCCACCAACTGCCCCACACTACACCTAATCTTCTCCCCACCCCTCACCCCCATCCCTACTGGCTCCAAGAGCCAAGGCAGCCTCTGTCCCACTGGGCTGCAGGGCTTTCATCAACCCTGAAAGCTGTGAACTGGGATGGATAAATATTTACAGAGCTTTCCTGGCCCTGCCGAAGGCAGCCTGGGGATAAACTCGTTGAAGGCGACCCTAAATGCTCCCTGCATATCTGCAGAGTGACAGACAACAGCCCAGCTCAGACCTGGCTCCAAGCGTCAAAGTGGCAGCCACAGGTGACATTGTGCCTCCAGAGTGACTGGTTGTGCCCTCTCCTTCCATTACCTCATTTAATCCTCAGTCCCGTGTTATCTCCCACCCACCGGCCAAGACTGAGGGGTGGCATCCTAAGACACAAGAGGGCTCACCTAGGGCACCTGGTTCAGAGCCAGATCTCTCTAATTCCTGAACCAGTGGGGTCAACTGGCTACCCTGGGCGATTCCTAACTCTCCCAAGTTCAAAGGGACTGAGAGGAGTTGATGAAGAGGCAGAGCCTTGGGACTGAGGTACCCCCTTTCCCTAACCCACCCATCCTGTCTTCTTCTGCTCCCACAGCCAGGATGGGGCAAGGTTGGCCAGGGTAGAGCTGGTGTGACTGGACAGAGGGGCCCAGGCTGGGCAGATATCCCTCCTCCGGACGGTCCCACGACTCCTGCCTGGCACGCCTCCTAAAGCACCCATCCCTGTCTGGGTGGTCTGGATGCTATAGCTGTGGTCCAAGGGGCTGTGGGCCTGCAGCTGCCTTTGTGAGTGGTCCCTCGAGGTCGCAGCTGGAGGGGAGGGTGCTGGGCACACACAGGCTCTCACACAACACCCCATGACTGTTCTTCCTCTACTCACTCTGCTGCCTTCTCACATGGACCATCTTCTCTCCTGATCACCCATTCTTTTCTCTTCCCTTTCTCCCCCCAGCCCCTTCCTTTTGGAGGGTCTCAGCTGCCCTCTCTGGGCTCTTCTTTCTTACTGACTCTGTCATAAACACACACACACACGCAAGCACACACGCACACACACCACAGGTCTCACACTCACGCTGTCCTGTCTTCACACCTCCCAAACTTGCCACTTGTAGATGCCCAGGTGGTGCCACCTCTTCTGGGCTCAGACCCCTTTTGCCCCAGGGCAGTGCTGCTCTCCCAGCTTTTCCTTAATCTTCCGGCTCACTGCACCCCTGGAGGTGTGCTCAACGAGGCCACACACCAGGAGACTGACACCAGCCTGCGGCTTTGTCCGCGCGCGACGAATAGGAGGCCCTGTAACCACTCCCTCTGCTACCTGGCCCAGCACACAATCCAGCTTCTGCAGCTGGAGGGCCGAGGAGCAGGTCCCCACGTTGGGAGGGGGCGTGCGTCCAGCACAGAGTCCCGCCTCACCAGCCTGAACGACCCCGGCGCAGGCTCCACTTGCACACCTCCACGGACGGGAAGCTCACTATCTTTCACGTCCCTAGGGACCCAGAAAGCGGTTCGGGTAACGGGCCGCTCCAGGCCACCCCAGGCGCCCCGGTGGGTCCAGCTCCGCCACTGGGCCCAGCCCGAGTGCCCGGCACCCCCTCGGCGAGGAGCGGCTGACCGGCTCTGGGCACTCACCGGGGGCCACGGGGCCCGAGCCAGCAGCGGCGGCGGCGGCAGCAGCAACAGCAGCAACGGGAGCAGGAGGGCGCGCGGGTCCGCGCCGCAGAGCCGGGCGGCCCGAGCCATCCGCCCCGGGGCTGCTGGGCCTGCTGGGCCGCACCGGGCCACCGCCCCTTATAGCCTCCGCCCCGCCCCCGGCCCGCCCCGGCCCCGCCCCACACGCCTTTTGTTCTAAACTCTCCCCGAGGAGGCCGCGGCCAGGGTGGGGGAGGTGGAGGGGAGGGGCTGGTCGGGCAAGGGCCGGGGGCTCCGAGACCCGGTCCTTCCTAGGGGCGGGCCACGCCTGACGTCTCAGAGGCCCCGTGCTGGGTGCCCAGGCCAGCCGGTGCTACTCCCGGCCTCACTTTCCCCGCTGTGCTGCGGGTAGTCTGACAGGGGCCGAGTTTCACTCCCCCTAGTCCCTACAGCCACCTTTGGAAGGGGCTTCCCTAGCTGGTCTCCCTGATGGCCTGACCTCTGACCTACTGCTGGCCTATGACAGGTGGTTGTCCCCAGGGCAAGTTCTCCCACCCCTTAGAGCCTTAGCTGACCCATCTGGAAGATGGCACAATAGCCTGTGTGAGACAAGGGATGAATGTCAGGGGAAACTGAGGCATAAGGAGGCAGCTAGCCAGTCCCCCAGCCTAGAATATATAGACAAGTTATAAATGGGAAAACGGAGGGCCCCAGAGCAGGCTTTCTCATACTGGCTTTCTCATCGAGGCAGGCAAGTGGGGGGGGGGGGCGTCAGGAAGGAGGGTGCTATCAGTAGACTGACGCAGGTAGGAGTCAGTGTCTGAGTGGGGGCACTGGTGGCCCAGAGACTAACACGCTCTACAAGGGTCCTAGCGGCCAGGCTCCTGAGACCTGAGAGAGGAGGTGAGCATCAAAGCAGAAGGTGATGTCCATATGCCGGAAGGGACCCTCCACTCGTGACCAGGCGCCTCACCATTTCACTAAGACAATCTGCTTGGTCGTGGGCAACCCCGCAGAGCCAAAACCCAGGCGGTGGCTCCCATCCTGGCAGGCACGGTCCTGAGAGGCTGCAAGGTGAGGCTGTGGGCACCCAGCCAGGGCCTAAGAAGGGAAGGAGGCCAAGAGGGAGAAGAGGCCATCAGGTTGGCTCAATCCCTCCCTCCAGGTCCCAGTCCAGGGAGCCCTCTAGACCTCCACAGAGACTCCTAGAGCGCTGGGGGGGTGGGGTTGGGGGGGGGAGACAAGGCAGCTGCTATCTTTGCTACCTGGAGTGGGAGCAATCTGTTTCTTTAAAGTGACTCACTTTTCCTTGGGGCAATTTCTTCCTCCCTGCAATCTCGGTGCCACAGCCCCCCCCCCCCCCCCAGTGGCACACTGGACAATGATAAGATAGGGTAAAGAAATTAAAGCTCTTCCCCGCCCAAGGGTCATAATATGAGTACTGCAAAATCACTCGGAAAAAAACATATAAACTTCAAGTTCCTGCAGGGCTGGGAAGCGTCCTAAATCCGCGCCTTGGCCCTTCCCTTGGCCTGGAACCAAAGTGATAAAATCTCAAGGCCACAGGATTCAAACCTGTGCCAACGCCTCTGGGCACCCAGCTCAGGGCCTTCGGAATAGGCATGCTGCTAGTATGTCGCTAAACACTGTCAGTGTCCGGCGCTGCATTCGTGATGCGGCACAGGGTGTCAAGCGGGGTGTTGGGCCGCATGGCGGGGAAACCACCCCGGGAAGGTGCCCAAGACTGGCCAGGGTTGCCGCGCATTTAGGCCCGGATGGAGTCTAAGAGGGGTTCCGGACGCCCCCTGGCGGAGGTTCTGGGGATGGGTCGCGCTGGGCTTTCCTTTGGGTATTTCTTCACTCTGCCCGCGACCCTGACAGCAAGTCGTAGTCAGTAAACCCAGTCCGTAGGAGGGGGACCAGAGCCTAGCCTTGCTGGATTCAAGCGGTCGCCACCCTGTCAAGTTCTCCCCTGGCGCTCAGACCCCAACCAACTCCACTCCCTGCGCTCCGCGGTAGTTTCTGAAAGGACTTGGTCCGTCGCCCCGCCGTAAGCCCTCGGCACCTTGCAGCATTGGTCCGTGTCCCCAGTGCCCACACAGCTCGGGCCAGACGCAGGGAGGAAGCAGGGTAACATTTCCAGCTAAGAAGGAGGTGATGCTAGGAGGGACAGGTCTCGGAGACCCGCGCGAAGGTGAGATGCCTGGCTACTCCCTCTGGGGGCGTGTCCCCTAAGCCCCGCCCCCTGGCACCCGCGGAGTTTATTGGTGCCGCATTCGTCCCCGAGACAGAACCGCTGCCACCTTGTCTCTGACTGCGTTTGACCGAGTCCCGCCGCCACCATCATGCCCCGGGGAAGCCGCAGCGCGGCCGCCCGGCCAGCCAGGTGTGAGCAGGACACGGGCCGGGTAGGGAGGGGGCTAGGGAAGGGCGGACACTCCCCCACAAGGACGTGATAGTGTGACCTTGGCGACTGCTGCGCCATCTTGGTGGGGGGAGGGGCGGGGTGCTGCAACCACATGTCTAAGACTGTGGTCGCCAACTCTCCAGGAGGAGGAAGAGGGGTTCGTGCCCGGGAGCCGAAGGCCCCTGGGGTCCCAGTTCCGGGGTCCGGCTGGGATTGACGCGACTCTCCCTCCCATCCCCCCCGCAGCCGCACCGCAGCTCCCTCCGTTCACCCGCCCGCGCACCCGCCGCCCTCTGCTGCTGCACCGGCCCCCACCCCGTCAGGCCAGCCAGGCCTGATGGCGCAGATGGCGTCCACGGCCGCTGGGGTGGCTGTGGGCTCGGCTGTGGGACACGTCGTGGGTAGCGCCCTGACCGGAGCCTTCAGCGGGGGTAGCTCAGAGCCTGCCCAGCCTGCCACTCAGCAGGTGAGCTGCGGGCTCAGGAGAAACTGAGGCCCACTTCTCTCAAGGCCACATAGTAAGGAACTGCTGGAATGTCCATAAAGGAGTGCCCTGGTGTGTTCCGAGCTGCCTCGGGCCCAGGACTTTTCCCAAGAAGGGTCTCATTCCTCACTCTGTTGTTGGCCTCCTGCCACTCACAGGCAGGCTCTCCTAGTCCCTTCCGCGCGAAGCCAAGGTCCCTCGACTCCAAGGGATCTACCAGCCCTTTAAAGATGGAAAAGCTAAAGTTCTTAGCGGTTCAGAGACTGGCCCAAGGTAACCCAACCCTAGGGGAGGGGAGGGATGTTGAAGTTCTGCGTCCCTGCTCTCCCTGTTCCCAGGTTCTGCCCTGTAGACCCTGCAGCCCAAGGGCAAAGGGTAGCCAGCGACTGTTTCCTGGTGACTTATCCCCTACTGGGTGCCCCACCAGTCCTGAGCCAAATGCAGCTTAGTGGCAGGGTCAGGGGTCATGAAGATCAGTGTGGCTGAGCCTGGCAGCTACTGGTACTTGTGGGGGTGGGGCTTATACTCCAACAGTACAAGCACCACACCATGCTTTTCCAGAGCCTTCTCTCACCTCTCAGGCCCTACTTGCCCAGGGAGCCCATATGAGGCAATTGGGAAATGCTATTGCCACCAGCACTAGCATCGGCTGAGTGGGTTTGACAGAGCTGTGGGTTCCTTCTCTTTCACAAATGGAATAGCTGAGTATAGACAGGGCAGGCTGCCAGGGATCCCAGGGGCACCTGCGCAGGGGGTGTGGGGAGGGGCAGGCAGCCCCCAGCTTTGGATCCCATTCTGGGTGCCAACCTGGAGCTGTGACATTGCTGCCTCCTGTGCCACACCCTAGGCCCCCACACGCACTGGCCCCCAGCCCCTGCCGTTGGGGCCCTGTGCCTACGAGATCAAGCAGTTCCTGGACTGCTCCACCACTCAGAGTGACCTGTCCTTATGTGAGGGTTTCAGTGAGGCCCTGAAGCAGTGCAAGTACAACCACGGTGAGTGAACAGCCCCTGATTCAGGCAGGAGTGGGAGAGAGGGGCGGTCCCTCTCCCTGCACCTGCAGGCTGACCTCGAGCCTGTGCCACCCCTCCCTCCGCAGGTCTGAGCTCACTGCCCTGAAGACACCGGTGTGGACGGGTGCAGATCCATGAGCCAACCCTACACTCACCTTCATCCCTTCACCGACAGCCATACCACTACATCAGGTGGTACCCATGTAGCTGGGGTTGGGAGTAAGGAGGGGGTTTCTCACCCCGCAGATGACCCGAGACGCAAATGTGCAATTAAAAGAGTTTATTTTAGACCACAGCCTGCTGTGTGCCCTCTCACTAACCTATCTGCTGGGGTGGGGTGGGGGGGGATGGATGGATGTCCAACTGTGGGGTGGAATGTTTCACTTTATGCTGACATCCTGGGTGCAGGAGGGGGAGGGGCCCTGTTGTAATTTGACGACCTTAAATAGTCCAAATAGTGGTGAGGCATTACCAGGGACCTCAAGGGCATCTGACTCTAGGTACTAGAATCCCTGGATAAGCCTGTTGTCTCCCCCTGTCAGGGTTGCTTGCCACCTTCACCCTCTGGATCCCCATCTCTGCACACACATCTTAACACCACCCCACCCCCCTTGGTGGCCTTATGTCCGGTCTGTGATCTTGCCCCTCTTGCTGATGCAACTTCGCAGTAATTCCAGGTTCTGCAAGAAGAATGCCACTGGGCTGCTATCTGTTTGGGCCTGATCGCACATGGCAGAGGTCATGCCAACCCCCTTGGATCTGAGTCCAGATCAGCCACTTGGCTGTGATATGCCAGGTCACAGGGTCTGCTGGAAGAGAAGCAGGCCCTTCAATCCCGGGGCAGACCTCGCTCTGTGCTGCCACCTTTCTTGAGTTCACCAGCTCTGCGTTGAGCACCTATTGTGTGCCGGGCCCTATTCGATATCTCTGGGGCACTGAGGATGTTCCTGCCCTTGGGCGTTTATATTCCAGTGGAGTGGTGCGGACCTCTCTTGGTGTGGTGTGTTCCAGCTTGTACGTACTTCTGCGTGCGTGTTTTGGTGGGGGTTGGGGTCTACCTCTCTGCACATATAAGTCTGTCCCTGGGACTTCTGAGTGTGAGCATCCCCCCAGGTGTCTATTACTCCTCCTTACCTGGCTCCTGGCCCCAGCTAGCGGGTCCTGGATGGCAGGGAGCCCTTCCTTCGTGGCCTTGAAAGAGGGCCCTGCTCCTGGTGATCACGCCGAGTGCTCGTGCGCCTCCTCTGGCCATCGCTTGTGGGTTGTAGGCCTGACAGGCAGCGAAGCTCCTCTGGAAGGCCCAGGAAGCCCTACCTATGGGGGCTGGGGAGAAGGTGCACCCTCCCCCTGGGGCTCTACCGTGAGACTCACCTGCAAGCTCTGGATACTGGTCATCCAGGTTCTCCAATAGGGACTCATAGCGGGTGGGGGCCCCATCCTCTCCCTCTGTGGAGGGAGGAAGACCAATTCCTGACTGGCCTGGTGGTTCCCACCTCCGCCTCTCACTCTAGACTTATTTGCTGGCCCTGTCTGGGCATCCCAACAAGGCATTCGATGCGAAGGGTCAAGGCTAGGTCCTGGCCAATGTTGGGGGCTGGCCTGGACCTTGGGTGGTCTCTGGACTGCTGCCCCCCTCACATCCCAACATAACTCCAAGGGGAAATCTTGGGCCCCACTTACTGATGATCTGCACAAGGACATAGGTCCCGCGCTCCTGCAGCAGGGAGCTGCCCATGGAAGGGGCCTCGGAAGCCCCCTCATCCAGGCTCACCAGGTGCCCATCCTCAGCCAGGAGGGCAATGGTCGCTGGGAGGGCAGGGAGGAAGGCAAGGCAGGGCTGGTACCTCTGCCTGGGCACCCTTGGTCCCTCCTCCCCAGCACCCCTCCATGCCCCCTCACCGTCTGGGGGCACCTGCCCCTTCTGCCTCAAGTGGGCAGTGAGGGTCACCAGGTTGCACCAAGTGTTCACCAGCTCCCAGCAGCCAGCTGTAGGGACAGGGCAGAGGTGAGTGAATGGGACCCTCTGTTTCTCCCAGTCTGGGACCATCTGTCTCCCTTCCATCTTTTCTCTAACCAGAGCAGGGAACAAGGCTCCAGGATTAAGACCATAACCTCTTTCATCCATTTCTTGAGATGTCAGTGACCAGGGCACACAGCTCATGCCTCCTGCACTGGGTGCCCCCCTCCCGCTCCAGCGCCTTCTCTACACAGGACTTCTCTCCAGCACCAGACCCCCCAGTCTCCTATCCCAGCCGCCCCCTGCCACCAGGAGTCTGGAAATCTGCAACCGTGGCTAGAGCTTTAGGTGCCTAATGTACCCTGAAGCTTGAAGACCACTGACCGATTTGGAGACGGTGTAATTTAACACCATACCCGTGGTGTTGTGGTGGGTGTTTTAGAGGAGCCCACCGGAATTTCCCATGACCTAGCCACCGGGGGTTCCCCTCAAGGGACTCCAAGCATTTGCTCTGCCTTCTCATAGAACTGTTTCCCTAACCCCCCCAGCCCCTTACCCAAGTTCACTCCCCTTCCTCACACTGCCTCCCCACTCTCCCCCGAGAAGAAAGCAAGCCTCTGAAAGTACTTTCCCTCTACCCGTCTTGGGACAGGGGACCTCACTTACCTCCAAACATCACTGTGATAAACATGGCTGCAGGGGAGAGGAGACAGATGTGGGGGTTTCGATCCCCTAACCTCCGACTTCCAGACTAAGGAAGTGTCTGGGGCTGAGATCTATTCTGGGTGGGGCCCTGCCAGGAAATGTGCATCTGTGTTTGGGGATGGGTGGGTCCAGGCTTAAGTTCTTGCTTGGCCACCCTTAGAGCAGGGCTCCACCAGCCTCGAGGGGTCCCTGCAGCTAGTTCAGGACGCTCGGCCTCCTCTTCCTCCCGCTTGCTGGGTCAGAGCAGCCAGAGAGTAGACTGAGGCCCTCCCAGCTTCCAATCTGGTCTCCATGGCAGTGGGAGTTACCAGATTGTCTAGGCAGGAAATGCCTTCCCTGCAGTATCCTGGTAACAGGATCTGGGGCTAGAGTATGGGCACTCCCTAAAGCTTGGCTAGAGTGGGGGCTTGAGCCTTGTGGTCTGCGGATGGCCCCAGACCACATCTCCCCACCAGTACAGACAGAGCTCCCAGGCTGCATGTGGGAGAGGTTCCTGGATCCGGGGCCCTGTCCTGGGGAAAACCCCCAACTATGAGCTGGTGGGGCTGCAGCCATGGCCAAAACCTGGCAGCCTCACCAAACCTTGCTTTTCCCTACCTTCTCAAGGCCCTCTTCCCTGTGCTCGCTGTCTTTCTTCTCCCTCTCTGCCTTCCTCTGCACCTCCAGCCTCCCCTCTCTCTCCTTCTATCCTTGTTTCTCTCCTTGTTCCATCAAGTTTATTGAGATATGGTTTACATACAGTAAAATTCACCCTAAGTGATAAAAATCTGACAAATCTCATAGGTCCGTCACCACAGTGGGGAGGCCGATCATTTCCCTCACCCCTCAAAATTCCTTCATGCCCCTTTGTAGTCCCAATGCTGGCGCCTGGCAGCCACTGCCCTGTGTTCTGCCCCTGCCTTTTCCAGAATTGTGTAAAACAAATCACACAGCACGGGGCCTTTTGAGTCTGGCTTCTTTCACTTAGCATGAGATTCACTCAGGGCATATCAATGGCTCATTCCTTCTTACCGCTGAGGAGGGTCCCATTGTCTGGATGTGCCACTGTTTGTTGTTGATCCATTCACCTCTGTGTGGATTGTTTCCAGTTTTGTGCCATTATGAATTAAGCCAGTATAGACATTGGCAGACATGTTTTTGTGTGTCTGTCTCTCCCTCCGTGCCCATCCTTTCTTTAACTTTTTCTCTCCCTTTCTCTGTCTTCTTTCCTTCTTCCCCCCAGCGCCTTTCCCTCTGTCTCTGTTTCTGTCTCCTGCCCCCTCTCCATGAGCCTCTATCAGACAGACCCCTTCAGCCAGGGTGCCAGGTGGGTGCCTAGAGCAGGCTCCCCCCCTTGGCCAGTTCCCTTTTCCCCAAGGTTTTAGAAATGCCTTCCCTGCCAACCTCCCATAGTGATTAGGCTGTTTGTCCTGCCCTCTGGACCACTGAGGCAAGAGGGAGACGGGATCCCCCATGCAGCTCGCCCAGCACCACACTCAGCTCCGTGCTTCCACCTGTAGAAAGCGGGTTAAGAACATGACTCAGCAGAGTCCTTGGGAGGATTAAATGTGGTAACACTTTATTTATTTGTTTGTTTATTTAGTAGTCTCCACGCCCAATGCAGGGTTTGAACTCACAACCCTGAGGTCAAGAGTCTCATGATCTACCAACTGAGCCAGCCAGGCAACCCTTAAACATACTACCTTGGTCTCAGCATGTAGAAAGCACTCATTCAGTACTGTAGAAACAGCTCGTGTTTCCCCCCCAGTTATTTAAACACAGGACACTTTCTTCTCGGGACACCACTGTCTCTGAGGACCTGTGTCCTGCAGAACACAGCTCAGGAGTGGCTGCAACCAGATTCCAGAATGGCCACTCTGAGCCCGGGAGCCTCAGTTCCAACAATAATCATCATGGTTTTCCCAAGGGCTCGTCTTCAGTGCTGCCAAGGAGGGATCTTTGATCTTGAGTGTTTCGGGGATGCCCCAAGGAGGTGTTAGGAATGGGATGGGACCCATTGGAAGTAGGCTTTATAACCTCCCCCAAGGGAGCTCTCTAGGCTTTGAGTTAATGAGGGCGTACTGTTCTGATTACTTTTATTATTTAAGTATGGTAAGGCCAGCAGACCAGGAGTTTGCCATTGAGAAGACAGTTTGTTCCCTGTAGATCTCTAAAGGAGGGGGCGTGTTGCACCACAGGGGGACACATGGAGAAACACTCAGTAAGTCAGCAGGCAGAGGGAGAGGGGGAGCCTTTACTGGTGGTTTCTGAGGGTAAGAACAACGAGGAAGGGTAAGCAGGCTCCAGATTGGCTGGTTTGAATAATTTCAGGGCTCTGGGGCATAGAGACTTTCCCTGGATGTCAGGTACCTGGCCCTGGATGACTAAGCCAATATGATAATGGCCCACAGAGCTCTCAATTGGTTTGCATCTGATATGTGCCTGCACTATTTCTAGGAACTGGCTAGCCCTGGGAGGGTCAGTCAGTCCCTCCAAGGTCAGCAAGGCCCCAAATATCAAAGCACCAGAACACAGAAAATGCAAAGGCATGATCAATACACGCACTGTCCCTGGCACTGAGCAAATAAATCCCATCTGCTTCTTCACAACCCTTTAGGCTTGCACTATGTTCACCTTCATTTTCCAAATAAGGAAACGGAGCCACGGAGAGGGCAAGGAACTTGGCTGAAGTCATGAAGTTCAGAAGAAGAGGTTCTGAGATTCAAGTTTGAATCCCAGCTTGGGAAGTCAGCTCCTCTCTGTCTGGCAAATTAAAGGAACTGACCATGTCAAGCTCTGGTGAGGGTGTCCCTGGAAATCTCCTACCTGTTGGTGGCAGTGCAGATCGATACAACCATGTTGGGAACACTTGTGGTATCTACTGAAGCAAGTTCCCTATTGCCCGGCAACTCCAGCCCCAGGTGTCTACCAGAAGAAATGAGAACACGGGTGCACCAAAGACAATAAGGATGTTCACAGCAGTTTTAGTTGCAATAAAGACTGGAAAGCATCCAAATGAATAAACTGTGAAAACATTAGGTGGTTTACCTGCCTTATGGATTACATCCAACTATGAGAATGAATTAAACATTGCTGCACATATATGGATGACTCTCATAGTGCTGAACAGAAGAGGTAGGAGCAAAAGGAACTCACTATTGTTCCACTTATAGTTGGCATTCTAGAGCAAGCAAAATTGATCTAAGTGATTGAAGTCAGAATGATGGTTATTCTTGGGGTTAGAGGTTATTATTGATGGGAAGGCACATGAGGGAGTCTTCTGGGGAGATAGAAATGTTCTAAATCTTCATCTGGGTAGAGGTTGCAGGGGTAGGTGTGTGTGTGTGTTTATGTGTGTGTGTATATATATGTATATGCACATACATGTGTATATACACATACATGTATGTATATGTGTATATATGTATGTGTATATATACACATACACACATGTATACAATGCATATATGTGTATATACATACGCACATACATGTATATAGATAGATAGATAGATAGTCATCAAGCCATACACTTAAAATGTGTGAACTTTACCCTCGTGAGTTACACCTCAATAAAAAAGCATCTACCTGCTATAACTGCGTGTGTGGATTTCCAGGTTCCTCTTCTCAAAAGTCCCTGTGGGTCAGGACCCCAAAGACGTCTGGGAAGATAGGGTCGGCTGTTGGGCCCCAGCTACTATACCCCTACATCCCCACCCCCAGTCAATGGGCTGATTTGCATGCCTTGTCATGGTCCAGAGGCTTCCCCTGCCCGTGCTCTGAAGCACTTGGAGCACTCCCAACAGAACGACGCCTGTCTACCTCCCTGTCTCTGGCCATGGCTTGCTGGCATCTGGCCCTTCTTCTGACTGGGGCCCTCCTGTCAGGTGAGCTCCTCCTAAGCCTGGCTCACCTGGGGTAGGGTGGGGTGGAACTGGCTCCAGAAGGCCCCTGCAGGGAAGCAAATCAATGTGGGCAGTGGGAGGGTTCTAGAAGAGGCATTAAGATGGAGGGGAGAACTGGCTATAGATGGCTCTGCCCTAGACCTGGGGCAAGTCATATGTCCATGTGGGCCTCAGTTTCCCCATTTGTGAATGACGAGATTGTTAGGATTCCTTTGGATTCAGATTCTTTAGAGTCTCAGAAGAGATTGGAAGTGGCCAGTCACCTTTTTGTTTTTCACATGGAAAGCTACCCCACAGGGCCTCAGGGACAACCTATCCTTGAGACCTTTTCCAGCAGCCAGTTGTCTGAGGCTGAGTTGATGGGTGAGATAGCCCAGGAGGCTTCTTAGTGGTGGTTAATCTGTAGCCAGGGTTTGGAAGAGCCGGTGTGACTGAGGGGTAGAGGTCTGCAGGGCAAGGAATGGGGGTGGGGAGCAGAAGGACCCAGAGGCCACCAGTCCCACCTCTGAACTCTAGGCACTCAACTGAACACATATCCTTGGGAACATAGCACCAATGAGGACTTAAGGGTCACCAACTCTATGCCCCATCCAACCTCGATTCCATGGCACTGGGCTACGAGCCTTTTGGGAGTCAGAGTCTCCTTGGAGTGTGACCAAGCCTTTACAGGGCCGGGACAGGAAAAAAGGAGCCCATGTCAGAACTGGGCCCATAGGTCTCTCTCTCTTTCTCTCTCACTCTCTCTCAGTCTTCCAACCAGGCTTGGCCCAGCCAGAAGCACTGCTGGTCTTCCCAGGCCAAGTGGCCCAATTCTCCTGCATACTCAGCCCCCGCCATGCCATCATCGGGGAGTATGGCGTGTCATGGTATCAGCAACGGGCAGGCAGTGCCCCCCGACACCTCCTCTACTACCGCTCAGAGAAGGACTACCACCGGCACCCCGAGATCCCTGACCGCTTCTCAGCAACTGCGGACGCCGCCCACAATGCCTGCATCCTGACCATCAGCCCTGTACAGCCTGAGGATGAGGCAGATTATTACTGCTCTGTGGCTTACATATCCTAGGGGTGGAGCGCGGGATGAGTGCCTCTTGTCTGCCTCTCACTTCTGCACCCTGACCTTGGGCCCCTCTCTTTCTCTGAAACTTGGTTTTCCTTCTCTGTAAGATGGGTTGGTAATATTAAATGTGAACAATAACTATTCTAGGGCCATGAGATCCCTGCTGAAAAAGTGACTGGGAGTGTGGGGGTAGGGATTCAGGGGATTGTTACAAAAGAGGAAGCACCTGAGACCCTTGAGGCAGTCCCAGCCTCTCCCCTGGCCCCCAGGGGGCTCAGACTGGTGGCCTGGGCTTCCTGTGACCTGAGGAACTGGAGACAGAGAAAAAGGAACCAGTTCTTGCTGCTCCCAGTTCCACATGGCTGGTTGTGGGCCAATGCGCAAGCGGTGGCTGGACTGGGTTCTCATGGAGCCCAGGCTGCTAGCTTGGAGGGCAGAGGGGAGCTCCTGCCTACTCCCTGACCGATGTGGGGGTGCGGGGGGACTCAGAGGCACCCATGCACCAGGGCGGACGGTACTGAACACAGGTGGGCAGCATCTCTTCTGTCAGGAACTTGTGTTCTACTGGTCTCCAGTGATACGGCTCTGCCCGGCTCCCCACCTCCAGGCTCTCCCACAGGCAGGGACGGCCTTACCTGAGCAATTGGGCCCAACGGGGAGCACTGGGTAGAGGGACAATCCTTATCAGGAGCAGCTGGGTGTGGGTTGGTGGGGTGGGGTTCAGGCACATACTCCTCTGCTATCCTGGGTCCCCTAACAGGCGCCTTACATCCCCTAACAGGTCATTCATCCCTCAGATGCACTGGAGTTGGCGGTCTCCAGGGAACAAAGAGGGTCCCGCCTACACTCCCAGCCGTCTCATGGGCCCTTACTGGGCCACTTCTCCATATCTCAGTCTCTGTTGGTACCGTCTGAGCAATCAATACCAAGGTTACCCAGGGAGGGTGAATCAAACAGGACCCCTGGGCCTGTGCGAGGTGACAAGCTCCATAGCTCGGGAAACACCTTCCCTTCTGCGGAAGACCCCAGCCGCCCCAGTGTCCTCCGGCTTGCCCCCACCCCCAGGGCAAGTGCAGTGGGAACTCGGCCGCCAGCCTGTGGCTCTTGGCCGGCTCGCCCCTCCCGGTCTCAGTTTCTTCTTCTGCACTCCCACCAACGCCTGTCCAGCTGTTTTCCCCACGACGAGGATGAGCTTTGGGAACGGTCCCGGGACCAGTCCCAGACCTTGTGTCCGGAGCCAGAGCCTCTACCCGCGAACTACTGGCGCGGTGGGACCACCGAGACGCGGGGACCTCCGCGCGGCCTAGAGCGGTCCCGGAAGTGCCCGCGGGCGGGGGGCGGGGCTCCGGGCGCTCGGGACGCCGCGGGCTCCGCGTCAGCAGCAGCCGCGGAGCAAGGCTGGGTCGGCCGCGGGTTGGAGCAGCTCAGGTGCGGCCCCGCCCCGCCTGCCCGCGGCCCCGCCCCGGCCCAGGTGAGCGGCCCCGCCCCGGCCCAGGTGAGTGGCTCCGCGTCAGCCAGTGTGACCACCTGTCCCTCTGGTGGCCCCGGGTGTGGGCGTCCCCCATCGGCGGGAAGCATGTAGGGGCTCCAGAATCGTGCGTGTCCGCGGCCGCTCGCGGGCCTCAAACCAGAGAACCCTGACCCGTCCGAGTGTCTCCCGGGTGCCCAGGCCCTGGGGCCTCCTCGAAGCATAGGATGATCGATGCAGGAGGAGCCGAGGAAGGTCCCGAGAGAGGTGGGAAGATGGGGTCCCAGACCTTTGGATCTTTGGCCCAAAAATATTTAAAACATTGTTGAGGAGAGTTAAAGGATTGCCAACTTTCTAAACAGAGTGGAGACTTCAGCGTGTAGGTGGTCCGTAATGGGAATGGAAAACCCCTCAGGAGGGAACTTTGGAAACACCAGGATTTAACAGGTGGGTGGAGGAAGAGTTGCAATCACAGATACCCAAGAAAAAAGAATCAGAAAGCAAGAAAACTGGGGGGTGGGGGTGGGGGGAAACTTTCAGAAATGAAGGGAATAAAGCCGGGGGTGGGATTGGGGCGGGGGGGTTCAAAACCTTGAGGTGTTCAGAGAGACAGTGGGTTTAATGAAGGGGCGGGCCCGTATTGTCACATCTCCCAAGTTTTCAAGAGAAAGCCTGAAACTCATGGACTTTTCAGTATTGGCAGCGAAGTCAAACAAAAAGGGAAAGTTCAACTCTCTGCAGGCCAAACAAAACGTGTCTGTGGCAGGATCCCCAGGCTGCCAATTTGCAACTTCTGAAATGAAGGGTTTTGAGAAGGGAGCTATTGGTGAGCACTGCCAAAAGGGGTGGGGAAGTGAAGTCTGGGAAGAGAGAGATTGGCAATAAAGAGGTCATTGGATGCGAGAGCTGAGGACGCTGAAGACCCAGCCGAAACTGGAAACTTGAAATTTGTCTCTGTGCAGTACACAGTACACATCCGTATGATTTTCTTTGGCAACATTTAACATCTTAGGAGGACTTGAGGGAGGAAGTTGGTAGTTGGCAGCTGGTTACAGCCAGGCAAGGAAGTGAGGAACGTGATGCTGGTCAGAGTCCATAGTTAGATCCATGATAGACAGAGTCTGAGCTCGGCAGGGAAGGGTGGGCTAGAAGAGAGAACCAGAGAGAAATCGGTGGATTGTTAGACCTGATGAGATCGACTCAGAGAGCCTGAAGGACTGGAGATTACGGTTCCTAAAGAGGGGTGGGGGGAGGGGAGTTAAATGGTCAAAGAATCTTTGAGAAGCCTTCAGTTCTGTGCGTCATTTCACACCTGGCCTTTTTACCGCCTGGAAAATTCATTAAAAAAAAAAACAACCCAAAAAACATTTCCAAATAGAAACAAGTTCCATCGTGACTATGTTGATTAATTTAGTGTGTCTTTTGAGCAGCTCACTCTCCATGCTTCAGTGCACTGTTAATAGTACCTGGGTATAGAGTTGTGAGGGTTAAGTGCAAATGTGCCTGTAGAAGTTCTAGTAGTGCCTAGCACATAGTAGATGCTCAGTAAACAAGAGCTGTTGTGGCACCTGGGGAGTTTCCCTTCAGCTTGCACAGCTATTTCAGAGTGGGAGCCTGAGGCCACCATAGTTGGATGAGGGGCCGGATGGAAACAACTCCTGTCAACTGGAGCAGTTGTTTTTGTCTTTTCTTTATTTGTATCTCCCAATTTATTTGAATAAAGAATTTTTTGCTCCCTTCCCCCCACCAAAGTGTGGCCATCAGTCCTAGCACAAAAACAGATGGCTTTTCCTCCATTCAGTCATGTATTTATTCAACAAATGTGTGTGGAGCTTATCCTGTTGTGCTGGGGGGCTGGGGACTCCAAAACGCAAGAGCACAGTACCTTGCCCCCAGGGAGCTCTCAGGCAGTGGTGGCGAAGAGTCCTGATGGCAGATGTTTGCTGTCCAGGGCCGTGGGCACTGTGACGGTCGTGTGCACCGAGCTCCCCGGGTCACTCGGGGGGTGTGCTGAGATTGTGAGAGTTGTAGGATGCAGAAGAGGCGACATTTGAACTGAGTCTGGGAAGATGAGCTAGTGGCAATCTGAGAAGGGAACAGGATCTGTTAGGAGGAGGAAGCAGCAATTAAGGGTGTGTGGAAGGGGAGGCTGGGGATGGGGCTGGAAGCGCCGGGCCGGGTATGAGGGCTTTGTGAAGGATCTGAGCTGCTGCAAGATCCCGAGACAGACGATCAGGCTTCTTTTGGGGTATTTGACACTGGTGTCAATGTAGAGAACTACAAGAGAGAGGAGTAGAAGCTGGAAGTAGGTGGTCAGTATTGAAATACTCCTGGGGAATTGCACTGAGGCCTGAGCTGCGGCCTGACAGGCAGAGACCTCTTAATAAAGCCCCAGGAAATGGACAGACTAGACATATGGAGTGAGAGAGGGAGCAGGTCTAGGCTAACTCCTAGGGTTGTGGCTTAGGCTCCTGGCTGGAGGGAGTGCAGCCAACTTAGTGTAGGAGGGAAGTTTGTGCTCTTTCTCAAAACCCCCCACCCCAACATCCTCCAGTAGCCAGAATCTTGCCCCTTTTCCACAGGGGCTTCACTTCCTACTCTAGTTCACCTTTCAGAACAACCTCAGTCTTTAGATTCTAGACACTACTGCGTGGCACTTGATTCTGTCTGTCTTTTTTGTAGGTTTTTTTCCTTAATGTTTTATTTATTTATTTATTTTTTGAGAGAGAGTGTGAGTGGGGGAGGGGCAGAGAGAGATGGGGACAGAGGATCCAAAGCAGGCTCTGTGCTGACAGCAGAGAACCCGATGTGGGCCTCTAACTCACAAAACTGTGAGATCATGATCTGAGCCGAAGTTGGATGCTCAACGACTGAGCCACTCAAGCGCTCCTTTGGTTGTTTCCGATCACCCTGTTCTCTAATTCCGTGGGGCTCATCTCAAGGGCAGGATCCTATCTTCTGCTTATTTGGTTATGTCCACCGTAGAGTACGACACAGGAAGGAGGCACTTACTAGGTGCTTGCTTTGCAGTCTTGACAATGTCCCTTGGATTCTTTTCAGGTCGCGAGAACAGTAAGCATGTCCTTAAGAAGACCATCTTTCAAGAAATACAGTCACTGGGGGTGATACTCAATTCACAATGGAGGTTTCCCCAGCAGCGAAGCTTGGTGAGACCTTTGTGTTTGAGGACAGGTTAGAGATGCAGCAAGAGCTCTTCCCAGAGGAGGACCTGGGGGACCCTTTTCTTCAGGAAAGAGGCTTAGAGCAAATGGCTGTCATTTATAAGGAGATCCCTCTCGGCGAGCAAGACGAGGACCATGACGATTATGAGGGCAACTTCAGCCTGTGCTCAAGCCCCGTTCAGCATCAGAGTACCCCGCTGGCACACAGACCCCAGGACGATGACCTCTTTGGCCAAACCTTCCTCCAGAAATCAGACCTTAGCATGTGTCAGATAATCCACGGCGGAGAAGAACCCGGTAGACACGATTGTGAGAAGACGAGCAGGGCGCACGCAGGACCCAACGAACCTCACAAAGCCGCGGCGCCGGCAAAACCCTACGCGTGTCGGGAATGCGGGAAGGCCTTCAGCCAGAGCTCGCACCTTCTCCGGCACCTGGTGATTCACACCGGGGAGAAGCCCTACGAGTGCTGCGAGTGCGGGAAGGCCTTCAGCCAGAGCTCGCACCTTCTCAGACATCAGATAATCCACACCGGGGAGAAGCCCTACGAATGCCGGGAATGCGGAAAAGCCTTTCGCCAGAGTTCGGCCCTCACGCAACACCAGAAAACCCACACCGGGAAGAGACCGTACGAGTGCAGGGAATGTGGGAAGGATTTCAGCCGGAGCTCAAGCCTCCGAAAACACGAGCGCATTCACACGGGCGAGAAACCCTATCAGTGTAAGGAATGCGGGAAATCCTTCAACCAGAGTTCCGGCCTGAGCCAGCACCGCAAAATCCACACCCTGAAGAAGCCTCACGAGTGCGAGCTCTGCGGGAAAGCCTTCTGTCACAGGTCCCACCTCATTCGGCACCAGCGGATCCACACGGGGAAGAAACCTTACAAATGCGAAGAGTGTGGGAAGGCCTTCAGCCAGAGCTCCAACCTCATCGAGCATCGGAAGACGCACACTGGCGAGAAACCCTACAAATGCCATAAGTGTGGGAAGGCCTTCAGCCAGAGCTCGTCGCTCATCGAGCACCAGCGCATCCACACCGGGGAGAAGCCCTATGAGTGCGGCCAGTGCGGGAAGGCCTTCTGCCACAGCTCGGCACTCATTCAACACCAGAGAATCCACACAGGGAAGAAACCCTACGCGTGCAACGAGTGCGGCAAAGCCTTCCGGCACAGGTCAGCCCTGATCGAGCACTATAAAACCCACACCAGGGAGAAGCCCTATGAGTGTAACAAATGTGGCAAGTCCTTCAGGGGAAGCTCGCACCTTATTCGGCATCAGAAAATCCACGCTGGGGAGAAGCTCTAGAAAGAGGAGCTCATACCAAAGCTTGAAACCCTTTCCTGGATGGAGCCCACACCCCATCGCTTTGTCTGTGAGACCCCACCCCCCTCCCTGATCCCAGGGCCAAAAAGAAACGTGTCAACCTAGGTGCTCCTGGCCACCCACGCTAGCAGCAAGGGCCCCTCTCGCAGGGGCCAGACACCCCACGCCCGGCAGATTTGCTGAGCGGAAGGGAGGGTGGACTCACAGGACGGCCGCTGACATGGAGGCGTGCCAAAAAAGAGAGCTGGCCTTGGGCTGTTCATATTTGACTCCCAAGCCCAGAAGACCGAGTTTTTCCATCTCTTCCCCTTTGCCAAAATCTCGAAGAATAAACGCCAGAGGGAGAAAGTTGAGTTAAACACACAAGAATGTCAGGTGAACTCTTTTAACATCAGGCTGCAGTCTGGCACTTTTAGAAGACAGAACTCTGCTCATAGTCCAAATCAGCTGAAGAAAGATGAATCCCAAAGTAGATACATTAGCAGCAAAATGGAATCTTGCATCTGGCTTGGGCATTGGTGGGGACAACCGAAACAGGCTACAGAAAAGGGAGGCTCTGGAAGGATTCGTTCTGGGGTTGAGGGAGAGGGTGGCAAGCCCCTGGCGTGGTCTTTTAATCTATATTCTGGGTTAGAGTGAGGTTGGTCTCTGGCAGGTGGCTCTTTCACAAGAGGGTCGAGGTTTCCTCCCATGGGCCACAGGACGTTTGACACTGCCTCAGACTCCGCCTCGCACAAGGCATTAATGCCCTCCGGTGATAATGCCCCCACAAGACCCAGGGCTCCCAAGACCATGGTGTGCCTTGGTTGTCAGCAGCGCCCGTTTCTGGTCTGGTGGCTCTGTGGCCACCTCTCTGCCCTCCAGTGCTGGGGGTCTTAGGAAGTGGGGTAATTCATTCAGAGGTCCCAGTTCTGTCCTTCCCACTCCAGTGGCCTTGAGGAGGCTCCAAAGCTCAGTTTTTCTCTCTGTGAGATGGAGATGGTGGCACAAAGCCATGTACCTCTGAGGGTATAAAGCTCCTGTTCAGAACGAAACCACCCGTGAAAGTGCTTTGGCAACTGGCAGTGGAAGGTAGAGACCCAGAGCGACCCTTGTCCCACACAGAGATTGGAAAGGCAAGCCTGTCTATTTCCCAGGTGTCCAGGCTCACAGCAGGCCCTCTCATTAAACCAGGGTTTAGGCTTTCCTTTACTCCCTCCAGCCCCGCACCCTGGGCTGCGGATGCCACGTTCCAGACGGGGACCCTTCCCATCCTGAACCTACCCCTAGCAGCAGTGTGGTCCGTGTGGCCTGCGCCCCCATGCAGGTCCTCTCCCTGGTGATTGCTCCAAAAGTACCATCGCCTCTGTCCTGCCAAGACCAATTCAGTTGGCATACCCAGAGGAGGGGCTCAGACAGTGGTGTGCTTTTAAAGCTCCCCAGGCGATTAGAACATTACAGCCCGGGTGTGAGCCCTGTGCTGGGCATCCGTGCAACCCCAGCATCTCCCAAATGTCAGGCCTGCTTGCCGTGAGCAGAGCTTGAAAATGGCTGTTCTGTCTCAGTCCCCATGCCTCCCCGCCCCCCCCCCCCCGCCCCAAACGAGCTCAGGCAGTGCCATGTCTGGCTAGTTGGTAAGTGTTTGTCCCAGGTCCTCAGGCCTTCAAGTGGCCACTGACATCTCTTTGGTACTGCCTTCCCCCTTCCCTTTAGAGACAGTCTGAGCTATTTTGAAGTTTTCCGAAAGTTGATGGCTGGAATCCCATAACCCCGTCATGGTAACGCTGCCTATTTCAGCTAATTGAGGGATCAGCTTGGCAGTAATGTATAGTTTTGACGAATAAAAATAGGCAAGTCCTAATTGTTACTTAGTAAGTGGGGCTTGGCAGGCTAGAAATGTTCAAAGGATTGGTCACCAGCTGGGGGATCACAGTGGGGGCCCCAGCCTGGAGAACAGCCGTTGCTCCTGTCCAGCTCCTCTCCTTTCGGGAGCCTGTGAAACATGCTCCCCCCCCCCCCCCCCCCGTTGGTCAGGGCCCTAAAACCTGCTGTACCACAGGCTAGACTGGCCTGACTGGGTGGCCCCTGGGTGTCATTAGCAGGCGGCCTGTGCTGAAGGTCTTCAGTCATTTACCATGAGTACAGAGAGAATTGAGACCCCTCTTCTGTGTGGGTGGGACAGCAGGCCCCTCCCCCAGATCTACCTCCTTGACATCCCTCTCCTTATCAGGCAGCCATCTGGGTCCTCCCTTTGCTGTCTCTCTCCAGGTGCCTCTGCACACCCCAGCCAAACTGATTTAAAGCATCTCTTTGCACACGTCACCACTCTCCTTAAAACCAACCTGCAGGGGCTTTTCTGCGCATAAGCCCCCATTTCAGCCAACCTGGTTTGCCCACTTCTGAACAAAACACAGGGAGTTCATGCCACCGGCCCAGACGCTCTCTCCACTCCCAGCTTCTCTCCACTCATTTTATGCGATTCTCGCATTTTGGAATATGCACTTTCTCCTCCTCCTCCCCCCACCCTCTCCTCCTTCCTTTCTACAATTTACGGAACACGGGGAATGAGACCCCCTTTCTGAATAGTCGACAGGTTCTCACAGAACCACGGTGAAGACCAGGTACTTGTTTTCAAAGCATGAGCAGAACCTAGTCCCTTCTGTTCACATTTCTTCACTGTTTTACGTGTTTTCAAATCCTTCATCTTATTTAGGTTCTTGAACAATGTAATATGAGAACATCCTGGTAACATTTTAATTGCCCTTGGATTTAGTTGTCATTTTTGTTTGGTTGTTTTTCTTTTTTCCTTCTTATGACAGACGTTGAGTGTCGTAAAGCTCCAACTCTTGGTTTTGTTTACTAATCGAATCGTTTTGTCAAAGTGTATGTATTCTGTCTGCTCTTTTTTTTTACTTAATACTTCATATTTCTAAGATTAATTATTTAGATATAACTAATTGTATTTTTAATATTTCTAGTAAATGTAGTTACTTTGGTCTACGCCTTTTTCCTTCGAGCTTTTCCGTACTCTGTCAGTTTGACATGTGCTATTTTTTGTTATTAGGAATCTTTTTTTGGCCCAAGTGTTATTTTTTATTTTTCCAAGTAATGAATGCATAGGTCACTGCTGTCATCCAACTGTACTGTGGTGTCAACATTTCTAAGTGTCCATAGAACTTCTCTGGGCTTGCATATATGATCCATTTTTATAAAACATTTGTGTACTCTCAAGAAATGTGTTTTTACTCTATCAGTTCTATTTGTGAACTCAGTTTTTAAATTACTGTATTCAAATTCACACCCTCTTTGTTGTTTACTTTACAGTTCTTAACCTGGGGTCCGCAGATTGCCTAGGAGTCCGTGAGCATCCAGGTCTATTTTAGAGGTTGCATAGAAGGATTGAATGAAGCTTTGTGGCTATGTCCATGAATGACTTGTTTGGGGCTGGGGGTGGTGGTGGGCAATCCGTAGCAGTCACAACATTGTGGAAAGGCTCTGTGACCCCCAAATAGTTAAGAACGCTCATTGACCTCGTCAAATCGGGGTCTGGTTTTGTGTTTCTTACTCTGTGTATTTCTGTTTCACTTTGTTTCTATTTTATGTATGTCGTTGCAATGTTAGATGTGCAGTTCTCTCAAATCCTTTTTGAGAAATAGGCAGGGTATCACTTAAGTAAGTACCATGATATTTGGAACATTTATACTGAACAGTAATATACTGAAAAATTGTGCCTTTTAGTGCCCTCTTTTCCTCTCTTAAAGCTTCTAGCTGAAATTTCTCTTTTCCAGACATCATAATTGAAATCCCTGGCTTTTTTCACTTTGCATTTGCATGAGTTTAGCTCAGCATTTTATTTTTAGAATTTGTGTATATATTTTGCTGTATCACTTATAAACAGCAAAGTGTTGGATTTTATTTTCTAATTCTATAATTCTTTTTCCTTTTATGTAAGAAGTTCTCATCTCATTATCATTTACAGTAAGGTATAACTTATCTTCATATTTATATTTTAACATATATTAACTCATTTAACCCAGAAAGGTCATGCTCCTTTAACCCCCTATCTCTAGGAGTTATTAACCATGTGTGGAGTATTATCTCTGGGTAGGCTAGAGGGTCTGCCATTGGGCACACCTGCTCCTCCCTGTGTTAGTCAATGCCAGGCTCCGTCCTGAGCCCACTCTTACTAAAGTCACCTCTGGCTTCAGTGTTCTTGGCTGTAACACGGAGGAAAGAGGCTGCCTCATAGCCTTGTGGAGCTCAGAGGAGTAGAAATACAAACCTTCATGGCAAACTGGGGGTGTAGAAGATTCTTACACTATTAGCGTTTTGAAAGATTTCTTTAATCTTCTGCTCTAACTCCCAGAGCTCTTTCAACATAACCTGGGACATTACATGGTGCTTTAAATTTTACAAAATATTGCCAGATACAGCAAAGAATTAAGCATCACAGATCCATCCCATGCCAAGTAAACCCGTATGGTAATTTGGTCTCAAAACCTCCATCCCCATCACCTGTCTGTCCCAGGTGGGTCCCCCTGTCAGCCTTCCCTTTCCCCCTCTCCATGGTGTGTGTGGGGGAATTAGCACTGTCATAATTGGAAAGGGTCAAGAATATGGTCACTCTGGCCGCTCCTCTTGGCAGGTAGGGAAATTGAGGCCAACGACTTACCAAAAGTGTGGCAAGTTACTGTTAGATCTACCTGGCAGCCATAGGGGAAGAACAATTCTGGATGTTATACTGGAGCCTTGGTCACTTGTTGCCAGGACTTCTCCGAGGTAACAAGTGGCTTAGTTACCACTGGCCGAAGTGAAAACCACACACTCTCAGTGGGCTGAGTTGCTCAGCCTTTGAGGGTCAAGTTGACATTTGCCAACATTACAGAAGGTGTGTCTATATTTGCCAGAACGCCGATGCACAGATTTCCTGGGGGTGGGGAAAGACGAAGCCCTTTTCGGATGGGAGAACCACATCTTCAGTATCTTAATTACCCAGGAAGCTGCATCAGAAGGTTGCCTAGTGAGTGTGGAATTGTGGTGTCAGGACATGGACCATCCCTCCTGTATACAGGCCATATACTTGTACAGCTCTCCGAATGCTGGTGGGGGCACATGCTGAAGACCTCCAGCGTCTGTGGCCTCCTCCCTGGGGGAGTCCTCCCTCTGAGGTGCAGAGCACTGTCTGGTGGCAACCCGCAAACCTGTGAAAGGCTCTTACGAGAGCTCCCAAAGTGAAGTGTGTTCTTTTTGCCACCACCCTTAGCCAGGCTAACTCTTTTCTTCCCCAGAGATAACTGGATGCACTGTTCTTTCTGTTCCCTGCACCTCACTTAGGTCTTCCAGGTCCACACCGGAAGGAAGCGAGAGAGGGAGTCACAAGCAGCCAAGTAACAATGTGCTCCTTATGTAACCCTCATGTTGCCTCATCTTCAGGAAAAGGAACTGGCACCTTGTGTGGTTCTGGTTAGGTCTTCTCCCAGGACCACAGGCATCCCTAAAAGTGAAGAGCTGTCCTGGGCTCATGGTGGGAGTGAAAAGCGGGTACAGTTACTTTCTTGGAGGCTGTTGGGGATTTATCTGGGTCTTATAAATAAAGCCCAAGACCTCTCCCTTCTGACAGCCCATTCTGGAGGTCTCTAATAGGGCCCTCTCTGCCCATCTTCCTTTCTGACAGCCCTGGAGGGGAGGAACCTGCCACCAGGTCCCACACCGAGCTGTGGAGCATGTGCTGTACGCACAAAAGACTTACTTCTGCCTGTTCTGCATGTTAAGAATGCTTTTCAGCCCTCTATCACCGATTCTTTTCTCCAGAGTTGCTGACTTCAAGCCAAGAACTAGAACTCACCTCCTGCTTTGCCTTCTCATTCACTGATACCCCCCACCCCAACTCTCGCCCTTAATATCTCTTGATGCCACTTCCTCCTGTTTTTTTTTTGCTCACACCTTGGGCTGCTGTCATCCACTGCTGGCCTGCTGCACAGCCCCCTCCCTGCCCTCCTACCACTGGCCAGACTTCCCCTCTGGGCTTTCTCCCCTTGGCAGCCAGAGTAAGCATTCTACTCTGTCTGATGGGGTCACTCCCTTCCTCAAACACCCCTGTTGGTTTCTGTCAACCTAAGTGTCGAGGCCAGCCTGTAGTCCTTTCTGATGTGACAACCTCCTCCTCACCCAGGCCCTCCATGCTCCAGCCACACTGAACCCCTATGTTCTGGAATATGCCTTCCTCAGGAACATGTACCTCAGGGGACATCCATCTCCCACCCACAGAAAGAGATGGGGAATCCTTCCCCAGGATTAGCTATTCTGAGAAGGCCAGGTTCCCCCCACCACCACACCCTTCCCCAGCCCTGTGCTCTATTCTAGGTGTCAGGTGCCCCTGGACCAGGGAGGAGGGGCAAGTTTAGGGTGAGGGCCAGCACTCTGGTTAGTGGAGAATAAGAAGAGAGAGTGGGTCCAAGATAGGGTGACTTTCCTCCTTTATGTTGCACTGTGATGCTTTCACCTGGCATATTTACAGACCTCCTAAAAATGACTTTGCAAGCACCCCAACTATGGTTTTCCTGAGACCTCACCCTCCACCGCCTAGCTCCTAACTAG